ATTAATAAAACTTTGCTCTGGGGGTGCATAGGTGGCTCAGTTGTTAAGCGTCTGCCTTCAGCTCAGGTCATGATCCCAGGGTCCTGGGATCGAGCCCTGCATTGGCTCCCTGCTCAACGGGGAGTCTGATTCTCCCTCTCCTTCTGCCTGCCACTCCCCCTGCCTGTGCTCTCTCTCTTGCTCTCTCTCACTTTCTCAAATTAATAAATAAAATCTTTAAAAAAATAAAACTTTGCTCTGTTACATGCAATATGTTCATATTGTTACCTAAATTAGTACCATATGAATTTACATTCACATTAGTTCTATACGAATACAAATATTTGGGACAAACTGCCAGTCACATTTGCCTTAATACTTATTCTCACAAAATTCCTCTAATAGGTGTTATTAGAAGTTTTGGTGTGGTGAAAATGAACTGAGAAAGATAAATTGCTAGAAGTTACACATAAAATCAGGAAGGGAGATAGGATCACATCCATGTGCTTTTGAATTTTTTGGAAGTTTTGTGCATTTTGGTGTATTAATAGAGACTATTATCCTTAACTATTATTTATTATTTAAATGTAATAATGCTTATATAAATGAAGGCTTTCCTAAGCCATCCAGATTAAGCATTTTGTGATTTTAAATTTTTCTGGAATTGAACTGAAAATGTATGATTTTTCAATAATCTTGGGGCAAAATGGTAGCAAAATTCATAGCAAGAAGTGAGTTAAAGTCTTCTTAGTATAAACCAAGGGGTAGTAGTAACAAAACTTTCTCTTCTTGCCATACAGTTCCACTTTTCTTTTTCCTGCCAAAAAGTTTCCTTTTCCCAAGTTACCACCCCATTAGCCACACTCCTTCATGGTATCCTCTTCGGTAAGTGAGTAAGTTATAGTCACACTTAATATAATGTAAATTTTATTACACATTTTAATTGGAGATCGTAAAAGTCAGTATTATCCAAAGAACACTCTGTAGTAATAAAAATGTTTTAGTTCAAATTCTTTTTTGCCCAGTGTGGTAGTCAATACCCATGTGTGGCTGTTGAACACTTGAAATGTGGCTGGTTTTATTTCCTTTTATTGGTTTATATTTAAATAGACACATGTGGGTAGTGGTGGCCATATTGGACAGCACAGTTATAGATTATGCATTCGAAAGACTCTTCCTGCTTTCCTTTCTCAAACACACAGAAGGGTATGTTTCAGAAGGGCCAAATACAGTGGCTGTTCTCAGTATTTTTGTAGTTCATCTGGCTTAAGGAATGAATGATCTACCACCAAGTTACAAACCAAACAATATTTCCCACCTAAGGTTGTCTAAGCTCTTCTCTTTATTTTTCACTCTAAAGTTCTGGCTGAGTTTAGAACCCAGAGGGTCAAAGGAAGGCTGGTTTCTCAGGATTCCTAGCTGGGAGTGGAAATGATGGTGTGAATGCCAAACAGCTCATGAAGTAGCCAGTGCTTATGAGATCCGCAGCCAAGTTTACCAGATGAGAAAGGAAAGAGGGGCAAAAAGAATCAGACAGAATAATGCTAATAAATGTTTTGTTTAGCCAGCTCTATTTTTTTTTCTATATTGATCTGAGGTTCAAACTGGGTAGGAATCTCACTGTATAGCAAATAGATATTTTTGGAGTTTGGGTGTGGGAAATATACATGCATAAAAAATAAGATGAGAAATTCAAAGATTTTCAAAGATCTGGAAATTTTTTTTTCCTTCCAGAAGACATAACTGTTATTTTAGTTTCCTGTAAGTCATAAGGCTTGGAATATAACACATGACATTCCACATAATTTTTAAATTGCTTATTTTCTTAAGTATCATTACCTACTTATTGTGCCCCTGAAACAAAAACAGAAATTAAAGTTGTGGATTTCCCATAACTGTAAAAACCACATATTTCTAAAAAGATTTAACTGCCCCAAGGGGTATGAAATACCTACCCTTTTGGACCATTAGCATTTATTAATCCCTAAACAGGTATACAGCTGTGAGGCAAGCTTAACAGATTTGTTGTGCAACAAAGAAACATACTTTTGAAGGTTCCTGGAGGGGAGGCAGGTGAGGGGGAAGGGATAATTAGGTGACGGGCATTAAAGAGCGCACTTGATGTAATGAGCACTGGGTGTTATATGCACATCATGAATCACTAAATTCTACCTCTGAAACTAATAATAATAAAAAAGAAACTTATTTTGTAAGAAAGAAACATCTTCTGAAGCCACTTTCACTTTTTTCTGATGAACACCTTTTTTCTTCAAGCATATTTTTGGAGTGTGGAACTCCACGTAATGGAAATGGAGCTTTCTACTACCATGTAATATAACAAATCCATAGGGGGAAAGAGAGTGAGATCAGAACCACAGAAACCAGCTTCCTCTGCTCTATCACCCTCCAAAGGAAACAGGTTATATATAATGCATGTAATGGAGTCTTACGGGCCAGAGACAAATAGCACGTGCTATTCGATTTTCACTCAAAAAGTTATATTAGAAATGCCACAAAATAAGCCAACTTTTAAAATGCCTAAAACAGAAACCCAGAAAAGATAAGCATCTTCAAATAGAGATGTATTAATAGAGCTCTCTAGTAGATACATTAATCAAATGTTCATTGAAAGGAGTTATAAAGAAGTCCCTCAAAAGTCAGTGACCACCTAATTTATCATCCAAACGGAGACACACTGGAGAGCAGAAGTGGTATTGATAATGAAGTTATTGATAAAGTGCTATTGATAATGAAGTTACAACTTCCAGACCAGCCAAGACAGGTGGCTGTCTGTGTGTGAGTCTTTCTTTCTTAGTTCATTACTCACCCCTCCGGATACCCCTCCGCTACTCAAATACCACTCATATTTTAAGACACTGCTTCATTACCCTGTCTCGATAATACTTTCAGGACCTCTCCAGCCCCCTTCTATTTCCCTATCCCTCCACATCTGCAGTACTTGTAATCTGTGCCACACATTTACCTTACATTTATCATCCGCTAATATTTCGCATGTGTTAGTTCTATTTCTAAATTACATTGTAAGTTCCTGAAACCAAGGATTTTATCCTATTTTTTTCAATCTCCCCAAAGCCCAGAACTAGCCCCTGGAAACCATTGCTCAAAAAAGCCCTGTAGCATGGAGCTCACTGCTGGTTTCCTATACTTTCAAAGCCAAATTCGGGGCTTTCCTCTACCACGCAGTCTTCCCAAATTAAAGCAGAGGTAATGTGCACCCTTCCTCTGACTGCAGATATTATTGACCACAATACTCAGCCTCATAGCAGTGCTTTATTTTATCAGCACAGATCACTCTGTGTAACTTACTATCTTCCCAGCTAGATCAAAGGCTATTGAGGCTGGGCATTGTCTCATTCTTCTTTGTATTTCCAGTGTCCTTCACTGTCTTTACATGCAGTAGTGCTAGTAAAATGTCTAGCACTGCCTCCCCTACCGGTATCAGAGTGGCTTACCACTTTCCACCATCATGATGAAGCAGTCCTAGCAAGGCCCGATTAAGTAAAAATGGCCCAGGTGTCAGAGAAATGACCTCTTTTTGAATTGTCCATCTAGGTCCCGCAGGGGGAGAAGCTCTAGACTGAGGCACGCTGGGACAGGCATAAAGTAGAGCGGAAAGGGACAAAAAGAAGCTGGAAGTTGTTCTAGCTAAAGGTACAGCTCCTTTTTAATCCCCTGATCTTGCTTCAGCAGAAGGCTACCGGAAATCCATATAGTTTTCTATTGTTGTCTAGTCCCCTCCTGAAGAGGGGATCTAGGTGATCCAGCATAAGTCAAACACGGGCAAGTACAGTACAAGGTGGCCCTATAGGGTGAACTAGGTGAGACTCCTCCCGGAGGGACCAAGAGGCAGACAACTGAGTATAGACTCAACTATAGGAGAGAAGGTAGTCCATGCAAGTTGCTGGCTCCGGTTTCTCAAGAAAGGAGATAGGGAGGAGCTCGGCTGGGAGTCAGGGAAGTAATCAAGCAAAGTTAGGTTTCAGGGTGGGCAGTGGAATATGTGTGTGGGCATCGTAAGGAACAAAGATCAAGGCAGAATCCCCGACCTCTGAAACGACACTGTGAGAGAGGGGAGAAAGTAAGCAAGGTGCCATCGGCATCACGGGACAGACCTGGTCACCCTCCATCAGATCATGAGGAGGATTGATCATCTATATGAGTCTAGGCTTTCACAGCTAGAGCTGCTGGGGCTTTTCTGAACCTGTAGTGATGGATGTGGAAACCAGATGGACCTGGACACAGAGATGGAACCCGTCACCACCCCTGCCCCTGCTAAGAGACACTAAGACAAAATGAAACAGGAATGGAGAAGGCCACACATAGAAGGTGAGCAGAGAGTAGCCTTTCCCTGCATGCATTCTTTAGGACGCCGATCTAAGAATGGATGAAATGGTAACGCAAGTCCCAGAACAGCTCGGTGAAACAAAATTAGCAAGATTCTTTACCTAATCCTGGCATGTACAGTGTCAATCTCCAAACATGACTCTTTTTTTTTTTTTTAAGATTTTATTTATTTATTCAAGAGAAAGAGAGAATGAGAGAGAGAGAGAGGCAGAGGGAGAAGCAGCCTCCCCGTGGAGCAGGGAGGGCAATGTTGGACTAGATCCCAGGACCCTGGGATCATGACCTGAGCTAAAGGCAGATGCTTAAACGACTGAGCCACCCAGGCGTCCCAGACACAACTCTCTTATGCAGGGATGCTCTCAGAAGATGTTGATCCCCTAGAGCCTGTGCAGAAGGGCTCAGGCACAGTGGTACTGTAGGAATGACAGAAGACAGCGTGGGGACACACGCAGCAGGCTTCTCATCCCCAGACACCGCCTCCGCAGCTGACTTGGTGAAATCTTAGGCAATACTATATGCAAACACTAATGGTTTATTTGCCTTAGACTCAACTTAAGGGACAGATAATGAAGGCTTGGAAAAGAATAAAATGTGAAACATCTGCCAGGAGTTACACAATTAATTAATTAATTTTCCCATTCATTTTGGTAGCTTACAGTTCTTCCTTTATTCCTCAGCATCTCTAGGGAACACAGTCTAAGATTGAAGCTCCATCCAGAAAAAAGGAGAAAAAAGTCAAATAGTGCCAGTGATGACCTAAGTTCTATCAATTTTTTTCTGTTAGTTACATTCTAGGGGGCTGTTTCACGTGGGTTCCCTCCAGTGTTATTCTGTGATTCCTTCTTAACGTACGTTGTTCTTTCGTAAGTTGTAGGACAGGGATTGTAACAGCACAAAGAGGCAGCAGGCAGGCCGTACGGATGTGGCTTTGCACACAGCTCTATCCCTTATGACTTTGGGACCTCGTGCTGGTGCACTGAGCACAGTTTTGTGCTGTCCAGATGGAACCCCCAGGAGTGATGCATGACTGATGTGGGCTCCTGGAGGCTGTCTGATGAGGGCATCCCTCTCCAGCAGAGGGCGATGTCTCGGCCCTGTGTGATGCCCAGTTACTGAAGTCCTTCCCATCTGGACTAGTCAAAGGGCAGATACAAAGCCTAGATCCATCTCAGATGGAGACAGCTCTAAAGGTCCAGCCCTGCCCAGAGTTCCCTGTGACATCAGCAGAGGATAATGGTAGAACTGTTTGCATCACAGATTAACATCCCCCCCATACCTGCCATCCTCACTCTCCCCTGTCCTCAGGTGTTACTGCTGAAAAAACTCTCCAATATACTTTCTGCAACCAACCTCTGTCTCAGAGTCTGTTTCTGGGAGAACTGTCCACAAGAGCCGGTTCATCATCTTCTCTGGGCCTCAGGTCCCTCATCTGTAATAGAAGAAGGGTATTAATAGCTCAATTGCATGAGTCATTACTAGGTGTCAGGCTCTTTTCTAAGCATTTTTCAGGGATTAATTTAATTCCTAAAAATCTTCTGTTGCACTATTATCCTCTCCCTTTACACAGGAGAGGAACCTGAGGCACATAAATTATCTAATTTGAAAAATGTCACAAACCTAGTAAGTAGGAGTCCTGAGGTTAATCAGTATGTCTCCAAAAATTATACTCTTAACTCATGCTTCATTATGTTTCCCCACAGAACAATGGTTAAAATTAAATGAGATTACATAGCATATATCTACCACAGTACTGGGACACAGTAGTTAATCAACAAATGTTTATTTTCTCTGGTCTGCATATACATCTATGTGTCACAGGTGTGGTGAGGATGGCAGGAGACCATGGATGATGTGATGTGTGTGGGAAGTGTGCCACTTGCTGACTACCAAGTGACCAGCATTGATTTTTCGAGGGGGGTGCAAGGTCCAGTGGTAGGAACCAATGCTCAAGAGTCAGATTACCTACTTTGGAGCCTGGATTGATTTTTCGAGGGGGGTGCAAGGTCCAGTGGTAGGAACCAACGCTCAAGAGTCAGATTACCTACTTTGGAGCCTGGATTCTCTGCCTGCTACTCTAATCTTCTGACCTTCAGTTTCTCATCTATCAAAAAGGAAATAATAATATTACCTATCTTCTAAGGTTGTTGTGAAGATCAAATTAATTAATGTAAAATATTTAGCATATTGTCTGTCATAGTAAAAACTGAATAAATGTTAGTTATTATAACTGTTGTTATAACTAACATTACTTATTATAGAGATTATTTTTTTTTCAGTTAGGATTAGGCTTGTGTTCATACAACTTTAAAAAATGAAATGACTGTCTTAAATAAGAGGAACTTTATTTCCCTCTCTTCTAAAAGAAATCCAGAGGTGAATTACCTGACGTTAGTGTAGCCTGAATATCTTCCAACACCATGAACAACCAACTTGTTTTTGCTTCATGGTCCAAAATGCCTGTCAGAGCTCCCGCTATCACACTTGCATTCCAAACTATAGGACAGAAAAAGGAGCAAAGAAGGGGATTGTTCCTCCGTTTGAAAAATGCCCCCAAAATATCACCCCTCTATCTTATGGCTGTAAATTGGTCACATGCCACATCTAGCATGTATGGAATGCTGAGCTATGTGGATTTTCATTTCAGGCAATGATGGTTCAACCAATGTCAGGACTCTGTTACGGAGGAAGTAAAATAGGCCTAGATGCTAGAAGGCACGGAACAGTTTCCATCACGGGATGAGCCTTCTGGGCACCCGTTTAACGATAAGTTCCGACACTTTTCTGGTTGTAGTTACAGGAAAAGACAAATTGTTACTTTAGGTATCGTAAATATCCAATGTCAGTTAACTTAAAGGTGTAGAGTTTTAATTCTAACCCATTTTAACCCATTTTTCTGAATACTTCTATTTCTGACAATTCTTTTTTTTTTTTTTTTTTAAGATTTTATTTATTTGCGAGAGAGAGAATGAGAGACAGAGAGCATGAGAGGGAGGAGGGTCAGAGGGAGAAGCAGATTCCCTGCTGAGCAGGAAGCCCGATGCGGGACTCGATCCCAGGACTCCAGGATCATGACCTGAGCCGAAGGCAGTCACTTAACCAACTGAGCCACCCAGGCGCCCCTATTTCTGACAATTCTAATTTGCACAGCAAAACCTGCAGGAAGAAATACCTTATAAGATCATGAAGTAGAAAACAATAACCCATGCTAATTCTTGCAAGTGTTTCATAAATAAAACATGAAGCAAAAGGAAGTTAAATATTGATTAAAGAAATCTAAAGCTTAGGAAGTTTAAGTTTGTTATATACATTGTCGTGAATTTCAACGGAAGCCGACCGTTTGGGAGATAGATAAATAGGACCTTTGAGTATCAGGACTAGCTCTTATGGCATCCAGTAGTAGGAGACCAAGGGATGAGGGATTGTCAGCAACATTTTCATTACATCCAATGAATAAGAAATAGTGACCTTGAAATCATTTAGGAAATTTACAATTAAAAAAAAAATCCTTACTATACTTATGCAATTTACTCTCTTTCTCCTAAACACATATTTCAGAACACAAAGATTTTAACCCAGAAAAAAACAATGTGCAAAGGCCCTCAAATCAAACTCTGGACTTATAATAGGAAGAAATCACCACATGAAAAGAAACATGTCACTGTCATGGGAGGAATTGAACAGTTTCTCCCATTCTAAGAATGTGTTAGAGAGAAACCACCCACAGTTTTCCATCGTTTTTTTAACCTGACTTCACCATGAAGCCAGCCAGTCAAAATATAAAATTACGGGAACGTGATTTTCAGCTACACCACAAACCTGGAGAAATCCATGTTATTCTAAAAGTATTATCTCATTATAGGCAAGGATTAGCTCACAGGAAACAGCCACATTATCTGATCTATTGTTGAAAAGACTCTCATATTGACAGGATGCCGTTTACTAACTTCGCATTCAGGGAAGGATCCAAATGCCTTCTGGGTCACTCTGTTGGAATCCAAAGAAAATAGTTTTAGCAGAGAAATCACCCTGAACCACAGTTGCAGACTTTTCAAATTAAAACAAATAAAAACTGGGAAGAAGAAAGATGAGCGTTTGATGTACGGAGGCGCTGTAGGCCTTCACTCTATGGTAAAATGAAAATGACAAGAGCTGATCATCTGAACTCTGGGTTTAGAGACCAAACGATTAGACCTAGTGCTGTGTCCCTGATTCCTTCACGTACTTTTGCAATTGGATTGGAAAGAGTGGTTGGCGGTGAGTCTACAGCCCTTACCTTGGGTCATAAGGCAATCAGCTGAAGAAAAGGCAACTTGTTTTTCTGACATTGTAATGGATGGATAGCTTTTACTTGTTTTCACTTCAGTTAAAACTTAATGTGTAGGAAAAGCAGAATAATATTCTAGTAACTCTTCCAACTAAAAAAAAAAAAAAGTTTTAAAAAATTCTAAACCCAAAAGATGCCAAGATGCAAATATTCCCTTTTTTTCTTCTCTCCCTGCTCTGTCTCTCTCTCTCTCTCTCACACACATAGCACGGACTGAAGTAAAAGGGAATAAAGACCAGTTTTTGGAATATTGGAATATAGAAAGAAAACTCCAGATTGAAATTCAAGCACTCACTATCGTTACCTAAGCTCCCTGCCTGTTAACTTCTTCAGTGGATAAATGAGCATAATCACACCTATTTCAACGACCTTGGAAAATAAAGAACATGAGTTTTGCGGTCAGAAAGGCTCCACTGAACCCTGGTGTTGGCGTCTCTTGGCCTCATTCTCACATTTACTTCCTGGGATAGTGATGAGACAAGCTTCTAACAAGAGGTCTGGCACACAAACGCTACCCTTCCCCTCCGCTTGTCTATTGCGACGTTGACATTTCTAATGCCACATCTATATTAACAGCCTCCTTGAAAGGATATTTTATTTATTTATTTATTTATTTATTTGTTTGTTTGTTTGTTTGTTTGTTTGAGAGAGAGAGAGAGGGGGCATGAGCAGGGAGGAGGAGCAGGCTCCCCACTGAGCAGGGAGCCCTCCACCGGGCTCGATCCCAGGATACTGAGATTGTGACCTGAGCTGAAGGCAGATGCTTAACCCACTGAACCACCCAGGCACCCCTGAAAAGGTATTCTTACTGAAATCCAGCATTAGCAGACTTAAATGCTGAGCACCCCACAAGCCTCATGACGTTTTCTCAATCTGTTCAGTTATAGAGCTCTCCACCCATGTGCCTCTGCCAAAGCTCCTGATCCCCTGCCCTCGTTTGCCTTCTCCCAGCCTGGGATTTCAGGCTAAACACCCAGGCACTCTGTTATGGGTAGTGGTCCCACATTTCTGCTCAGGGATGGCAAGCTCTTTCAAAGGAAGGATTTGTATTGAAGCTGGAGTTGTCACTTAGCTGTACAAAACACTTCTTTGTTCTGCACTGTCCCGTGCCTTGCACCTAGCACTCCTGGTGCCTGTTTATTAAATGCTGGGAGCTGCACTCACCCAAAATCTAGGGACCACAGAAAGTGCTCACTCACCCCCATTCCCAAAAGGAGCATGGAGTAAACTCCACTCCAAGTTAAGATTGTGGCTCAAACTCTTAGCCCTTGAGAAACAGTGTTATTTTGGAATCTACTCTACAAAAAACAACCCTGGGGCCCATGATCAGCAGAAGTTAAGCTTGCCAAATTATTTTAAGCAACCCCTTCTCCAGTTAGTCCTCAATACTGCCCTCTAAGTTAATAAAAATATTCTGTAAGTACTGTCAGAACACATATAAATCATGCAGACATTTTTTTTCTGTATTAGTTATACATTTGTTGTCTTACTTAGTAAATCATTTTCTACATTGTGTTGAAAGGTAAAGTGAGGGACATTACAATTTTCAAGAGTTTCTTTGAGTATGCATCAATTTGAACAGGGCAACACCAAACGAAAGGTGGTTAAAAGTGATCCACCAAGAGGAGCTTTGGAAAGGTTTTCATAGAGAAGACATGAAAGCAAAACAGGAAATCATTTGATTGACTAAAGCTTAAACAGTTGCCTTATTTGGGAAAAACTGGTTGCCTTATTTGGGTGGTTGTGATTAGTGGTTCTTAGGTTTCCTTTTCTCAGAGTCAAGTGTGTTGAGTCTGGCCTCAGTTTTGGTCTGCCTGTGTTGGCTCCCAAAGGATTTAGAGCCCCTCAGTCTAATGGCCTTGTTTAATTACTTCAACAATCGTTATCTTAAAAAAAATATATATATATCTATTTTCTTCTATCACTTAAAAATTCTGCTTTTCATACTTAAGCCATTAATTAACGCTTCTTGAATTTACATGTCCGTGTGGGGTGTGAATCACATTTTGTTTCCAACGGAAACATTGTTGGTGGGCGCTACACACTGAAGGTTTGTGTTCCCACAAAATTCATGAGTCAAAACCTATTCTCCAGGATGATGGCATTTAGAGGTGGAACATTTGGCTGGTGATTAGGTGAAGGTGGAGCCCTCAGGAATGACACTAGTGCCTCATAAAAGAGGCCTATATGAGGAGGACACAGCCAGAAGACAGGCTTCTACGAACGAGAAAGGGGACCCTCCTCAGACATCGAATCTGCTGATGTCTTGATCTTGGATTTCCCAGCTTCCAGCGCTGTCCGAAATAAATCTATGTTGTTTAAAAACCACCCAGTCTGGGGCGCCCTGGTAGACTCTGACTCTGGATATCAGTTCAGGTCATGATCTCAGGGGTGTGAGACTGAGTCCTGTGTCAGGCTTCACACTCAGCAGGGAGTCTGCTTGTCTCCCTCTCCCTCTGCTCACGCACTCTCTCTCATATAAATAAATAAAATCTTAAAAAACACCCAGCCTGTGGTATTTTTGTTTATGTAGGCTAAAAGAATGGGTTCTTTAAGGTTTTCTATATAATTTTTTAGTTACTTATAGTAAAATATTTTTCTTTCATACTTCTTCGTATCATCTAAGGTTTCAAGTTTATTGTACAAGTCCATAGTATTCTGTATCTATATATCATTATTCCCACTTATTTCTGTGCCTTCTTTATGGTACTGAACCAATATGGGCAAAGGACTGCCTATTTGATTAATCTCTAATATCTATTGGGTTTCTTTGTTTAATATTCCATTGTTGACGTATTTTTTTCCATTCTTTCTTTTCTCTCACTTTCTTTGGGTTTAGCCTGTGTTCTTTTTCTATCTTCTTAAAGGTAAATTTCAATCTTTTTTTCAATCATATAGATTTAATTGCTATTATTTCCCTGTAAGCACTGCTCTCTGCTCTGTCTTACCTTCTGAAAAAGTAGTTCAATGTCACTCAGCTCTTATTACTTTATAATTATTATGATTTCTGATTCACATTAATTATTTTAGATTGCTTAAAAGGTTTTTTTTTAATTTCAGAATGTATTTTGGGGTTATTTTCTTACTGATGTCTAATGTTGTTACTTTTTTTTTTTTAAGGTTTTATTTATTTGACAGAGAGAGACACAGTGAGAGAGGGAAC